GAATGGGAAAGTGCCCAAACTTTTGACTGGTACTGTACAATAATATACACAAAGAATATCGGCCGATATATCGATATCGGCCTTTTATTACTCCCAAATATCGGTATCGGCCCCAAAAAACCCATATCGGTCGGGCTCTAATGCTAACACACACACACACAAATGCATTTCGCACACATACACACACATTCTCTTAAGTGGGTAAGAATGCATCTACACTACAGAGGCAATAGCAACTCTATTCTGACAGTTATTTTAAGTAACAGGTATAAAGTAGTTGCTGGGTCCAGAGTAGTGATATACCTGGAGGTTTTCGTACAACAATTTAAACATCAGGCTTTGGTTTCAGATCACTCCATCTGTACTCAGTCCCATCTTTGTGAGCTCAGCTGCTTTATTTTTTTTTTATAAATCTGGCTTGTTAGTTCATTTTGTCAATTCAACCCCAGCATCAGAATGGGACTGAGCACAGTGTGAGAGTTTCAGCATGAACTGCCTCTAGCAACTAACATAAATACAAGCTCAAGCGTAGCCAACGCATCTGTGCAGCTGTTTTCTACTAATGGAGGTGATCTACTCTAATCGAAGTCGCTAATGGCAGAAAAAGCATGTTTGTCAAGTATTAACAACATGGTGGGTTTGTTGTCCCATAATGATGTTAAAATTCAAAGGTATTGCCTGCTCTCTCCACTGAGCCATGCCGTCTCTGCTTCTATTATTTCATGTCCTACCGAGCATTATCTACCATCTAAAGCAAGAGAGCAAAGCAGCAAACAGAGGAATACTAACATTAGCACCTTTACGAAAGGTCTCAAGACTATGACTGCCTTCAAGATGAGAGTGAAAGAGAGAGAGCGGCCATGACAAGCATTTATATCCATCAAGCTCTTTCTAGCGTGTAGATGTTTTAGCATGAGTATCTACCATCTGACTGAAGGACATCTCTCGTTTTGAAGCTCTAAAGTCACAGTCTGATGGACGAACCCGTGTTGTTTTGCTCTCTCAGCATCACTCTCGAATCCTTTCCTCTTTTTTTTTCTTCTTCTATTGCCATTGTTTCAGTCA